ATCCGTTGTTGAGGTAATGCAGAACGTTGCTGAAGGAGCACTCGTCTTCGCGCACTGTCTGCACCATTATGCCCAAATCACTGAAGTTCTGGCCACGGTCCTTCCAGGTCGAACGCTTCACGCAGATCGGATGATTCCGCCGGACGAGCACCAGCATGCGGACAATCTTCTCGTTTCCACGTATCACAAAGATGCCACCCCACTCGGAGTCGTGTTCGCCATGCTTCACCATCTCTTGCGGCGAGCCCTTGCCCAGATTGCATGCCTTGGAACGCAGCATCACCGGCACCTCACCCAGATCCATGTTGATGGGCGTCTTTTGCAGCCCATTCACACTCCATGCCAGTCGCACCGAGCACATGCCCGAGTAGGAGACGTGTAGCTGGCGCGAGTCTGTGGGATAAATTTCACGTGTTCGCACGTCAATCACATCCTGCGGCACCTGAGGCTTTGCTATCCAAATGTTCTCCACCTTCAGCGAGATTCGCTCTCCAGCCGGGCTCTGCATCTGGACGGGCGGCATGTGCTTGGCCAGAAAATCCAGGCCCACTGTCAGCATCTCATCGAACGAGTCCACATGTGGGGCTCCAAGGTTTGCCAAGTGCTGCAGGTCAGATTCAAATCGGTCACAGGCGGGTGAGAATATTACAGCAGCCTCTTACCTTGTTCAGCTGCTTGGGTATCGCTTTGAATTCTGGCCGGGAATTCGTCAGCACAGGATCCGTTTTCATTTCCTCCAGCATTTTGCTTGTTTCTTTCAGGAAATTAATCAAAAATAATAAAACCCAGTGCGCTGACCGTTGCACGTGTTGTTTGGGTCGGAGCCAGTGTGACCGCGCAACTATCAATCAAATATACCGACAGACCCTCAAAAATATACCAAAATATTCATTGAAATTATAACTGTTTTGAAGGATACCACTCCTCCATCATCAGCGATCTTTTCTTTTTCAACATAGATATGTTAGCATTTAGTAAACATTATCTAATCACAAAAGCCATTTTTATTATTAATTCATCATTCATATCATTCTTAATTGATAAATCCATTTCTGGGTCCAATTGGGTTGCTGTTGGGCTCGCGTACTGCCACCCAATTTTGCGCTTTAAATTATCGAAATATTCTTCCAGCGAATCTTGATTAAAGCCCCGAATATTAATATATGCGATATCTTATATTCATAATAGACCTTTTAGTGACTTAATTTTTGATTTTCCTTTGCAAGTTTCAAACCACCTTGCCAGGCATGTCGCTTGGTAATCGCGTTCCGTTATTTTACTTGGACCGAACTTAGCTATTCTTAAGTAGCTCTTCAAAGGCTTTGTCAGCCAGGAAATATGTGTGGTGCGGAAGGTCGAAAGCACCGTTCATTCTTTTTATTCATTCTAACAGGCGCAATTCGGAAAGCTTCAGTGTTAATCTGTTGAAGAGCTGCTGTACCGAGCTTTACCGAGCACTGTTTAGTTCTAGGTGTGTAGCATTGCCATAAACAAAAAATGGGCACCGTTTCATTCAGCCAAACTGTGCTAATAATCTTTAAGTTTCATTAATTTCTTAGTTTGCACTTAAACACCCATTGGTCAACAGAAGGTTAATCGGTCTGGTCAATGACTCTAAATAATATTTACTCGATTTTAATATTCTGTTTAAAATTGCCATCCAACTGAGACTCTCAGCCGTGGAACTACAATTTTCTACGGTTGTACGATACATTCGCCACAAGATTGGCCTACTCTTCTTGACTCTTTTAAGGGATTGTTTACAAAAATAACGATTTAGCTGAAAGGGTTAGAAAAAAACGAAATAAATAAACTCTACGTTTTGAGAATGTATTGTTACGTTATTTGCAATTTGTTGCTGGCCACCCAGTAGTATGTATCTTTATATACCCTTTTTCTATTATTTAATATTAACATTTCGTTTTCAGAGCTGCTCTTAAACATAATAATGGCTTAATGTTTCTATATTATGCAAAATTGGTTAAGATATACAGCTGATTGTGTGCGCGCGTAAAATGATTTGTTTACAAAGTGAATTTAAACGAAATTCTAATTTGCAGTACAGGAAAAAGTCCAATTATCTTGAAGACTATGATTCCGCTGCAGTGGCCAACATTTACTTTGATATCCGGAGAGTTGTGCTGCTCATTTGTATGTACCACTCGGGGTTATGTCCACGGAAATGACTCTACTTCTGCCGGATGTGTTGTCAACGTGTTGCTTCTTCCATCTAATGAAGTTGTTTCATTGTTGCCCTTGTGACCGACCGGCTTTGGCTGCTTCTTTGACTGCTGTTTTGTAAGGATTGTCAGCCGCAAAATATGCGCAAGTTTGTTGCATTATTAATGCATGTTTCCTGCTGACTTCTTCGCATGGAAATGCTCACAAATGAGACAGCAACGACACGGATTGACAATGAAACATGGTCTGGTTGGAGAAAGTAGAGACAGAGAGTTCTTACGCTTACTCAAAAAGGGCTTCCTTTCCTACAGCTGCCTGCAGCAAGGCTCTACATTGTCCTGCAGGCTCGGATTAACTTTGACTTTCAGGAGAAAGTTGCTCTAATTAACCGCAGGGGCCACCAGAGACACCAGATGACATCGTCTCATATGTGGGAGGGGCGGCGGCTGGCTGACTGGCTGGCTGTCAGGATAATGAAGCTGAAACTTCCTTTTTGGTTATTAACTCGGCCGGAGCCAAAGTAAAACTGCAGCAGCAACTTGAGAAAGACACGAAACAACAAGAAAAACAAGGAGTTTCAGCAGCAGCAGCAGCAGTAGAAGGAAGAGGAGTTTGGCGTTCAATCTGAGCCCAGTAGTCGCTTCGGTTTATTATTCCATTATAATGAACACAATGCACATTTTCTTTGAACTTTTTCCTGGCTTTTTTCCTCTCTCCCTCTGTCTCTCTGCTCTGGCAGTGTCCTTGGCTGCTTTGGGTCCTTTGGTTGCTACTTTCGTTGCACATTTGCGTGGTGCAATCTCGGTGAAAGTTGCTGCTTGTGTTGTTTGTTTGTTTGTGTGTGTGCGTGCGTGTGAGTGTGGGTGCGGGTGCGGGTGTCGTGGATGGGCACAACTTTTGCCATGCGCTTCCAAGTTTTTAGCCGAATTTTTTACGCTTTTTCTGGCGCTTTGTCTGCACTGACGACACCGGACCGCGGACAGGAGACAGCGAGGAGGAGAGTAGAGTGGAGGAACATGGCAAATTGCATTGTTGATTTTCATTTTCAAGCCTGAGCTCCGCTTCTCATTCAGTGGCGTGGCAGTGTGGCAGTGCGGCATCATGGCACCCTGGCACTGGCGACACTTTGCCAAATGTGTGCTTCCTCCTCCTCGCCTCCTCCTCTTAGCTAGAGTTCCGTTCGCTTCGGAGTCATTGCTGCGTGTTTCCCACTTTTCAAATGTGAACGCATAGCATAGCAGAAACTGGCACAGCCAGCGCAAAAATCAGCTGCAAAATGCATTTTCATTTGCAAGTTTTTCGCAAAAAGTTAGCTTTTGCCGGCAAAGGGAAAGAAGTACTGCCACGCAACGCACTCTTCAGAATCATCATCAATTGTTTAATCGAGCTCCAGAGATAAATACTCATGCCCCTTTTGGGAATAGTAGCGAGCTAAAAAAGTTCGGGGAGTACTTAGTACTCTCTGGGAATGGGACACACATAAAGATTTATTGACTGTCGCGTTATGTAGCTCTGCAAGAAAGAGATAGCATGAGACCCAAAACCACTACGATTTAGCTTTGTAAGTGTTGGTGCTTTGCTTGTACAGTTATGAAATTCAATGGAATTCCCTGTCGTTGCAAATTCAAATTAGATCATATATTTGTCTCGCTCACACGGCAGGCTTAGCGAACAGCGTTCAAAACAAAAGTAGTTCCATTCGGGTGCTGTGCTTCCCTATTTTGCAACCATTTGTCGTTGAAAACATAAATCAATCGTGTGTATTGAAATATAAATCAAACGCCGAAAATAAAAGCTATATACAAATTGATAAAACAGTTGAAAGGTGAGACGCGAAACCAAACAACTTCAAGCACTTTTTTTTTACGTGTTACGTGTTTACGTTACTGCATATGCATGTGTGTATGCGTGTGTGTTACAGAAGAACCAGTGAAAGTATTGGTGTGTGTTGAAATATCACCGGACAAAGCGTTCTTGGTTGCAATAATTATAATAAAATCGGATAAAATACTTGCAAGGTACGTCGCAACACCAAACAAATATTTTACTCTCATAATTTACACATTTTAAACTCCTTTTTTTTGGGCGGTAAGCAAAACATAACTGTAAAAGATGTCTGTCAATTACGTTTGTGGAATGTGAAATGGAACATCCATTTGGTTTTATTGCCAGTCACCCATGGCACCCTCAACCTGATGATGTGGCAGTGCGCCACTCCTGGCAAGAAGTCCACCCCATGGGAGGGTGGCCTCTACAAGCGCAGGAAGAGGCGTATGGCATACTGTTGAAGAACCGCTTGGAGTACGACAAGCGCGTGCGTGCCCAGGCGCGTGCCATGGCCAGTAACATATAAAAATAAATATTCCACTTAGAATGCTGCTTATAAGAGATAAATGTTGTATCAAACTCCCACTGCGCACAGTTTAGGAGCAATGACCTTGCAGCACCTACAAATCCATCTGTGCCAAAGCCCTTGGCTGTGATCTTCATTGTCATGCTGCTGCCCGTCGATGTGGCAACTGTTTTTCTTTCATTTTTTTTTGTGTTAGTCATAATCAAAGTGACGCGCCTGTCTAAATTTAAACACCTTCATGTGACATATTTTCCCAATTAAAATGCATCTAAACGGAGCGCAAAACATAGGCATAATAATTAGGGAATTTCGAGGAAGAGCGTCTGCCAGGTCCACGACTCTCATTGAGATAGTTTTCGTCCCAAAGAACAAAGCATCCGTTGGAGCATTTTCCGAGAGAGATGCAGAGTTCTCGATTTGGTTAAAAATAGAAAAATCTATTCAATGTTTCGCTCAGTTTTTCCCGTGAAGCCAAAGCGAAAAGTTCCGTACGGCGGATAGAAATTAGACTTCGAGAAATTTTCCAACGTCTCGCCCGAGTACATATAGATTTTCTTTTTTTTTCGGATCATATGTATACTAGATATTTACTTCAAGATCGCATAAACGGAAAACTTTACGATTTTATTTAAAGTTTAAAGAAGTTTACAAGTGCCAGTGTAATCCCTCGAATTTCCTTCATTTTGGCTGCAAAAAGTAAAAGTTAATACGAAAAAATTGCGAAATCGAAAGATCAAATCGCGTGTGATCGAAGCAGCACAGACACACACATGCATATGTATATAGCATATGGTAGTGTGTGTACCTATATCTGTTCGGGTTGAATCGGTGAGGGCGGAGCAGCTCTTTGTATCGACTGCTGCTGCTGCTGCTGCTGCTGCTGCTTCTGTTGCTTCTTCAGTGGCAAAGTCGCATTAAAGTGAATCGTAAATAAAAACGCCTGCCAGGCCAAGAACATAAGTAAACACAACAAGAGAACGTTCGCATACCACAGGTCTGGTTCTTCGGGGGCCTTTGTTCTCGGGCATATTATGGGAAATGCAGAGTCTACGCCGCCTGCAGATGACTCGCAGGTGCAGCCGCCGCAAGAACAGCAACGGCAACAGCGAGTGGGAGGAGCAGCCGCTACAACGGATGACGAGCCCTGGTGGAATGACATCGAGCACGAGAATTTGGTACTGCAACAGGCCCCCACCAATGCAGCCACATCAACGCCCAAAAAAGTTGAGGACGCTGTGAAAATAGCGGAAGAAAAGGCAACAATTCGAGAAGAACCCATTGAAATGGATAGCAAGGAGGAGTCCCCCAAGCGCGAGCAAACACTGGAGGAATTCAGGGAGGAGCTGCGCACCAAGCGGGAGGCGCGGCAAACTGCGGTGCAGGATCTGCGCGAGGAAATGAACAGCCTGAGAAGAGAATTGGCCAAGGAACAGTCAGATAATCGACGTCTAAGAAAGGAGCAGGGCGAGGAGGAGAGGCCAGCAGAGCAGGCAAAGGATCTGCAGGAGCCACTAGATGTGCCCAAGGAGCAGCCAGAAATCGATCCAGACGATGAGAATCCCTCGAGCCGCAGTCGCCATGCCAACATAGAGCTGGCCAACGCACAATTGGCACTACAACAGGCCAATGCCGAGAATCTGTCGCTGCGCGGCGAAGTGGAGGTGGTGCAGCGTCAGGTGGGAACCCTCAAGGAGGTGATAAGCTGCTGCAAGCAAATGCTCAGCGTCAAGGAGGAGCAGTGTGCACAGGTGAGAGAAAGAGTTCAAGATTGAACCGCTTCAGCTAACATCTAACACAAATCTTCTTTGTGTAGCTCAAGATGAAACTGCAGCAGATCGAGAACTCCTTCAGCGAGCGTGAGATGAAGATTATGTCCAACAATCTGCGGCAGGAGTACGAGCGGCAGCTGGTCAACATCCGCCAGTTGAGGCAGCTCTACGAGGAGCGGCAGCGCGTGGCGGCTGCGGAGTACGATAATCTGCAGCGTCTTATCTCCATCAAGAAGGATGAACTCATAGCCGAGCAGGAGAAGTAAGTTGCGAGGCAGTCAAAGGCAGCTCTTTACTCATTTTTATCCTCGCAGAACGAAGAACTTTGAGGAGCGCAATCAAGCGCTGCTCAAAGAAGTGGAAACTGCCAACGAGCAGCTGTCCAAGCTGCGCGAGGAATGCGGCGAACTAAAGTACGAGAAGCGAATGCTCAATGAGCAGGTGGGAGCCGTCAATATGGTAAGTGGTTTAGCCCTGACACAGCTCCACATTTCATGCTTAAAATCTCACTCTCCTTCAGCTCTTTAGTCAGCTCATTATGGGCTTCAATGGCAAGAGCAACATGGACATTGATCGCTTGAATCAAATGCTCGAAGAGAATCGCCAGCTACTCAATCAGATGACCCAAGCCGAGGGCAGCTGCAGCGATGGCGCCACGCTGCCCAAGCTGCTCTTTGAGCTGGTGGAGGAGGCCACTGGTTCCGGGGGCTCCGGCGAGGACTCCGACAAGAGTCGCAGTGCAACGCCAACACCCCGGGCAGTGGCTAAGGATGAGGCTGCGGCTGCGGCTGACACTGCGGCTGTTGGTGTGGACGTGGACATGCCCGACTGTGTCCAGCGAGAAGGAGGAGGTGCCGCTGTTACGGCTGAGCCCGAAATTATGGGAAAAGTTGCCTCGGCCCAAGAAATCATTGGCAACTTGCCAAAAGTTTGGAAAGTGTTGATGGAGCTCTTGAGTCACCACAAAATTGAGCGCGTGCAGTTCGAAGAGCTGCCACCGCCGGCCAGGAGCTTGGCTTCTGGTGCTGCAGCTGCTCCTGTTGCCACAGGGGAAGCTGGCAAGGCGGCAGCATTAGCCAAGCCAGCGGAGCTAAGCGTCAGCAAGACCTACATCAAATTGAAGGTGAGTTTAGTGCACCCACGCTACCAAGGTGAATATGCTGAGAAGGTGCTATTCTCCGCTTATTCACCACGCAGCAACCAGCAAGCGCTAGAAAGGGATAGACGTCACCTTCTACGTAAATTCACCTTGCGCCCACGTGCTGCTACACTCTGGCCGTTCAAGTGCTGCAGACAATCGGGCTTGTTAGTTGTCGTATCCGGTTTGCTGATGAAGTGCAGCAGCAGCAGCAGCCAGCCATCGTCCTTGTCTGTTGCACTCCCCGCCCTCCCCCCTTGTCTGTCTGTGGCTGTTGCAAAGTTTTGCATTATTCACTTAAGCGCTTTATTTAGTAGAGTGCAGGCCGAGCACGAGGACGAGCAGCTTCATTATTGCTGACGTTCAGTCAGGCAGTGACTCCGGGGGGGCTCCGTTGTTGGCACATAATTGAATTTATCGGTCAGTTTGCAACCCCCCGCCCACCACAAAACATGTTGCACATTTTTGACAATCCATTGAAGTGGAAAGTTCTTGAAACTTCTCAGCAGCAGCTCTCCATCTAATCTCTCTTTTAGGACCTCATACTGGAGAAGAAGTCGCTGGTGAAGGAAACGAATCGCTTGAAGACGCTCAACAGCCATCTGGACTATCGCTTGAATGAGCAGGAGAAGCGGCTGAGCGCCGTCAGCTTGGAGCTGACCAAAACGTGGCATCTGGTGGGCAAGATGCAGCGTCAGCATCGACAGCTGCACACCCAGGAGCAGATCCTGCGCTATCAGCTGCAGCAGAAGCGTCGCCTGCTCAGCGAGCTGAAGGACGAGCTGGAGTACTGTCGGCGCAAGTGGGCAGCGGCCAGGGCCAAGAACGAGGAGACCCAGGAGCAGTGCGACGACTGGCGCAGGGAATTTGCACGCCGCAAGCTGGAGGATGCCAATCACTCGGCGGAGAGCGGCTACAGCGACTCGGGGCCGCAGTCGGATGAGGAGCGGGACTCGGGCAGGGCAGAGGAGCAGGAGGAGCAGGCCGCAGCAGAGCCTGTGGTTGAGGCCGTCACGCCGCCTTCTAGTTCCGGCAATTGCCGCAGGAAGCACTTGAGGGATCAGTTCGAGCACACGCGAAAGATAAAGCGCATGCAGAGCACATCGCCGGGACGTCAGGCGGCCGCTGCTCTGAGCTCTGGCACTGCGGAGGAAGAGGGCGAGGAGATTGTTCTGCGCTGGAACAGTGCGCCGCCCACCTGCGGCTGGCGTGGGGAGACTATAGAGAACGACGAGGACGAGCTGGACGTGGGAGCTGAGGACTCTCGCGGAGCCATACCCAAGACCCCACACAGCTCGCGCAGCAGACAGCGCAGTCAGGCGGAGGAGGCATCAACTTCGGGCACGGCCAGTCGCATCCAGAAGCTGGAGGAGCAGTGCAAATCGCTCATACAGCAGGTGCTGGAGACATCCGACAATCGCGAACGTCTCGAGGTGCAGCTGTGCCGCTTCCAGGACGAGGTCTCGCCCGCCCAGCATGCAGTGCCCCTCGACGATTTCATCAACAACAAGCGGCTGGAGCGGATGACGCGTGCCAGCTCTGCACCGGCCACGGGCAGCCTCACGCCGCGCGAGGAGGAGTACACGAGAAAGCGCTCGGAGCGACTGGGCCGCCTGGAGGAGGAGTCGCGTCAGCTGATGTCCCGCATCAGGCGCACCACGGATCGCGGGCACTACCTGAAGAAGTCTCTGGATCGCATCAGACGCGCACCCAGTCGCGATGCCAGCTTCGAGAGCAACACGGAGGAGACCGCGGAGACCGAGGAGACCAAAACGGAGGAGAATGCATCCCCGCTGACCGCCGACGAGGAGGCCTACACATCCCGGCGTGCCGCACGCCTGCGACGGCTGGAGCAGGAGAGTCAGCAGCTGCTCGCTCAGCTCTCAAAGAACTCCGAGCGAAGCGAGGGTCTGGCCACCAAACTGGACACGCTCCACGAGCGACAGCAACAGCAACAGCAGCAGGAGCAGCCCATAACGGCTGCAGCTATCTCGCAGACTGTGGAACAACGACTGGAGGACATCGAACGAGTGTCTGTGAATCGCGCCGAGCGTCTCCGTTTGATGGAGGCGCAGGGCAACGAGCTGATTGCACGCCTGAGCAACACCTCGGAGCGTGGCACGGCCATGATCAATCGCATGGCAGAGCGGGAGGCCAGCAGGCGGCAGGAGGCCGAGCTGGTGGAGCAGACCCTGCCCACGGAGGAGGCCACCAGCTCCGTGAAGAACATAGCCAGCACGCGGATTGCAGACGAAGCCGAGGGTGCCGCCTGCTGCGTTACCGTCACCACAACCGCCACACAGCAGGCCACACAGCAGCAGGCGGCCGCCACGGGCGCCATTCCCAAGAAGCCGCCAAGGAGCACACCACAGGCTCACCTGTGCGCCGCCTCACGCCTGGACGATGCGGCCAAGAAGCGTTCCACGGGCAAGGAACCCGCAAACGTTGCACCAGAAACTCTCGAGGATATGGTGCAGCGACTGCGTTCCTTGCCATTCCCGGCCGAGCAGCAAACACAAAATGTGGCAGCCGCGGAAACCAGGGAAGAAGAGCAAGCGGCGGAGGATGAGCAGCAGGAGGATGCAAACTGAAAGATGTTCACTAGAGTTTAAAATTACGAATACTCCGCGGTAATCCTTGGCCTTAACCATACACAATAATCCACACGAATATTGTTCATTTCCGGAATGAATAAAGATCTTTATAATCTCACAAAATCTCCGGCTTGGTGCTCGGTCGCTCTGCTGCACGAGCGATCGATCAGCGGCGTCTACGCTTTGACATTTGACGGGTTGAGGCAGGGCTGACTCTCTTGTTGCCCTTCGTGTTTATGAAGCGCACATAGATCTTGCCACGGAGTGTGGTGCGGTAATGCTGCAACTCTTCCTTGGGAAAGAGGCGCAGTATCTCCTCCTCCAGTTGGTAGCTGAACGGCAGCGACAATCGCTGACCGCTGTCTAAGTAGTGGTCGGAAATCAGCCGGATGAGCAGCCGCCGCTGCCCTGCATCCAGGCACTTTTGCTGTCCAACGAGATCGAGCAGCGACTGGGAGCGCGTGCCTCCGGCTTTTAGAATGCCCAGCACTGTAAGCGCTTCCAGCTTCTGGTCCTCATCGACGCTTTGCTTCTTCGATTCGCTTTGCTCAGGTTCAATGTTGGCCTGCACGGTTTCGGCGTTTGAGTTAGCCAATGAATCATCGGAATGGGCAGTGTCCACAGCGCGGTCAGTCGCGCAATGGCAGTGCTTCTGCTCCCGTACAACGTGGAGGGGCCAGTTTAGGCAAAGGCGCCAGCGCTCCAGGTGATGCTCGAAGCGTATGCGCTCTCCCAAGCCAACATTCTCGAGCAGCTCAGACATGTGATGTGGTTTCATCATGTGCAGTTCGTCTACGCCGATGGCCCGCTCTGTGAGTCGGAAAAAAACGTTTAAGTCGTTATTCTGTTTTCAATTTCTCTTAATATCTCTCACCTTTCAAGCGTGGGAGCAGATCGGCAACATTCCATGACTGGAGCAGTACGCGCAAATCCGCGACTTCTTGCTCTTTCCCCACTTCCACTTCCATTTTTATTAATGTAGATTATTGAAAAAGTCAACACTCACGAAAAACGACAGGCAAAAAGTGGAGATTAATGTTGCTTCGACTTCATTTTTTGACAAATACACAAAGACAGAGAAACACTTAACCTTGTATAATTGCACCATTCGTTGGGGCTGTGTGTGTGTGTCCATGCACATGTACAAATTAAGAGCGGCCACATGGCTCACAGCAGTGTGAGCGAGAGAAATATATGTTTGCTGTATGTAACGGTTGATGGTCCGTTATGCTTTTGCAGGCTTACCACCTAGAGATGGGCATGAACTGATATTATTTGGCACGGACCTGCACGGAACTAATTATTACCAACGGGAAATGTATAAACGTGCGTATTGAATATTTAGAGTTTCGTGTCGAGTCGATAAAAAGCAGCCCATGTCCATCTCTAACTATTATATACTAAACAACACACAAATTTCTTGGCTTTGTGTCTCCATTGGATGTCTTCTTAGGTATCAATACCGTCTCCAATGCCTCCAAGAGAATGCATTTTTTGACCTTTAAGCGTTGCCACCTGGGTGGATCGCGGGTGTTGATATTTTTCGATACCTTTCGATGGGTTATGCCAGCCTGGTTTCCCCATGCTATTTCGTAGTTCACTCGGGATGCCCTCAAAGCACACGACACGGACTCGCTGGGATTTCTGGGACTTATGTGCTCCCTTAGACACGCACGCAGCCATGACATTGCCGGCCCCTGAGACTGCCAGTGCCAGTGCCACTGTCGCTGACATGCATGGGTGGACGAGTTTTCAGGTTGCCCAGTGGGGGTGTGGCAAGGACGTGGCCATTGGGTGGCAATGGGCGGCGCATTATCTCTGCATATGTATGCAAGTAAAAATGCCAGCGTCCGCTAACAAGTTGGTGACGTTGTCCCCCATCCTCGACATTGCAGCTTTATGCAAATGCGATTCCCTCCCTGGCAGACTCGCTCCCGTTCGTTCCCGCACATCGCACTTCTCAAGGCGTGTAAACAGCAAGTGGGTTTGGAGCAGGGGAGGAAGGGCTCTCTCTGTTCAGGCATAAAGACAACATCGCCTCATATGCTTTTAAAGCGAACAGAGATTGTACATTAACTTATCCGCTCGCTTCCTTTCCTTTCCGGGACAACAGCATCAACAACATTCGCTCTGAACAGAGCTCCCTCCGTCTCTTGCACCCTTTCCATATTTTTGGTAATTCCTTATACCAGGGTTATGTTAACTAACAGCTCTGTAACATAACATACTGTTGGGTGTTCATTATGCTGCTTTACAGGACTGGTTTAAAGCCACCCCTGCATAAATGAACACTTCCAGTTCGAGCGCAGGCCAATGGTTCGATGGGGAAGAGCTGTTAACATAAGGCCATCGAGCTTGTTCCATTGAGTTTGAAAGGGATGAGTCGCTGTTGGGATGTTCGAAGGGGAGTTGTTAACAGTCGAGCAGCAGGCCGGCTACCAGCGTAGCCCAAATTCGCATTCGTTTTGCTGGCCCGTTGACTAAGTTAATAAAATAAATAACATAACCTGCAGGTAGCTACAAACAAAAGTGTTCAGCTGCTTCCAACGAGTGTGGATACATTTGTCATACAAAAATAACACATCAATTGCCTTGGAAGTGGCCCTGCTACTTTAATCAGCACAAATAATATCATTTTATATTGTATATTTATTGTATTTTTAACGGTTTTTTGTAACATTTGCTCTTTATACACTTTTTTTGAATTTTTGTTCTTCACACTGGCGCCATCGAGGAGAATGCTAGGGAACCTACTGAAGCAGTGCAAGCAGTGCGATTTTGCAGCTGTAAAACAATAACATTACAGTAACAGTAACAGTAGGACCACTCGCTGGCTGCTACTGCTCCTACCGCACATTCGTTTTTGGCGAACTTCAAAAAAAAAAAAAACAAATACTTAGCAAATAAGTTAATTATGGCTTAATTGAATGTCTGCATTTTCTTTCCACCACTTCCTTGAAACAGTGGACACACAAAAATTCAAACAGTTGATGACTGTCTCTGGCGCTCCTCTGTAAACAGAAGTCAATCAATTTGCTGTGGGATGAACTCTCCTCCTCCCTCCACCTGGCCACGCCCACACGCCAATGGGGAGCTGTAAAAGTGTACAAATTGTTGCACCGTTAACCAGCCCGGCCGCTGTCCTTGGACTGCTGCTGCAACTGAAGGGGAAACGTCAAATTAATAAGCCGCCGGACGTACCACAAGCTGTGAAAAAGCAATCTTTGGTCTGCATGCCACAGATCCAGATGCAGATCCTCAGAGTGTTTTGCGAGCTTGTTAGCCACCAAGGAGAGAGGATGCCGCTGCCGCCTCGGCCTTTGCCTCTTTAGCGGAGTAGGGCCAAAGATTTATGCAGTTCGCGCGAATGTCCGAGAGGGGAAGCGCCGTTGGCAGGAGCTCCTCCACGCCCGAGACGATCTGCAGAGCTGAAGAGTAATCTAATTTATTAAAAGTGCAGCCCCTGCATCGGGCAGCGGGCAGCGGGCAGCGGGCGGGAGGCCTCGTTTGGGTTTTGATTTACGCTGAAATAAATTAAAATATCATAAAAAGGAAATTAAAATTCACTCGAACAACAAAAGCCCAGCGTCCCGTCTCCGACAGCGACGAGCGACGACCGAAGCCAAGACGATCGATCGATGTTCCTGGAGGCCAGGGTCCGTCCAGTTCGAGCAGAGGGGGGGCTCTTAGCTAATTTTTGAACAACTAAAAATACAAATAAATATTTTAATGTGTGATTTACGACAATGACTCCAACAGGGGGTCGAAGACGACTTCGACCGACTCGAGGTCTGGCTCTGGCTCTGGCTCTGGCTGTGGAGCGGCGTCTTCTTCGGTGTGCATTTTGATTGGATTTGTGCGCTTCTGGCGCTCGTGTGGACCCCCTCCGGACACTGCATTGAAATACAATTTAAGCGCCTTTAATGAACTGCAGAGAGACGCAGACGAGACGAGACGAGACGAGACGATCGGCACATACAGCAAATCAGCGAATCGGAATTTAATTTGGGGAATTATTTTTAATGGCTCATAGAGAGAATTGTTATTGGCACATCAAAATGAGAGAGACACATTTTTACGATCGAAACGAAATGATCGCCCATCAATATACAGATTTATGCAATGCCCCAAAGCAGTTTATAATTTTCATTCCCTTTTTTTTTGCCCATAAAGTAGGGCGGGGAGGCGGTTTGCCTGCCCGAAAATGGACTGCAATTAATTAAAAAACGATTGACATTCATAAAAAGTAAACTGCGGCAACAGCATCGCCTGACAGCGGAAGCAAACATAATGCCCGACTATTATGAAATCCATCAAACAGTTTTACAGAACACCTCAGCAGACCTCAGTGGACACCAGGCAGGGCGATGAGTATTTATGAACAGGCTGCCACGAAGAAGCGAATCGATCGCTGGATTCGATCGCCCGAAACACCTGCCAGGCACACAGCAGCAGCCGCGTTACAGCTAGAGATGAGCGCGTGAGTCAGAGATGGAAAATACGGCTAAAAGTAGTCGCAATTTGTTCTCTAGAGAAATACGTGCCTCGCCATGAAGATAGCTGAATAATTCATAGAGAACTTTAGCTAAAAAGTATCAAAATAGTTGCGCTGCCTTTTAAGAGTATTTTTGTCTACATTTTGGCACCTACAGTCACTGTAACATCATGAAAGAATCAATTCACGCACTCATCTCTAGCCCACTGACTGATGATGGAGCACTGCCGTTCGAGAGGCTGATGCTGTCGATGATGATGGGCTTGGTCATGGGTTGGGGATTGTGTATGGTGATGTTGCAGCAGCAGCAGCAGCAGCAGCCTGAAGCCCGGCTAACGAGCGCGAAATAATGCGCGAAATGTGGAGCAGACCCAGAGACTCGGCGACTCGACGACTCGACGACTCTGGGACACATGGGCAGCTGAAGTGGCAGGTCGCCTGGCTGCAACGGTGGCGACTGACAGAATTATAATCAATTAGTGGAGCGGCCGCGAGAGCGCATAAAATTATACATTCCGTTGCCTGCGTTGGGGCCACAGACATCCAGAGATCCACTGCCACAGTGCCCAGAACCCCATTCGTGAAACGCGTTGTGCAATTTAGTTTAAATTAAAATAAATTCAATTACGAGAACATGAAAATCCATTACGTAAATTATTGTCATTAAATGTGCAATTTGGTGCGGAGAGCGTTTATGAAAATTTTGATTAAATTTCTGACGCTTCGCCGGGCAACAACAATCAAGCCCAGCAGCAAGACACCAAAAAAAGTGAACCCAAAGCGCGGAGACTCGCAAGCAAAATCAAAAGACTTGGGCCACAAACTTGCACAGCGAGAGGCTGAGCTGTATCCCTTCTGCGGATCATGGCTAGCTGCTAGCTGCCTAATTAATTAATTATAAGCCCCAGCGATTAGCATAGAGCCCGACTAGGGGTCTCCCAGCGCTCGCTGTCGGGCAATCGCTTTCATTCATAGATCTCGCGGGACAAGTCCCAGTCAGCAGCCAAACGGGTTATACTTGCTAAACGATTCGTTAGATAAGATACTAAATTGTGTGTGTGTGTGCCTGCTATGGATATCTCTATATGGTTAGTCGTGGAGTTAGTCAGCGACTGACAGCCTCACCGCGCTTGATGGCTAGTTGCTGCCGAGTGTCGCACTCAATTTGTTTAATCCCCCTGGGAGGTAACGTAACTCTTCAGCAAACTCTAATTAGACTTTGGTGCAGTCTGTAATATGAGACTACATTTATATAGGCGCAACTCTGTGTTTCATTTGAAATTTGTTTGTTTTGTTTTTTAATAGAATATCCACCACACTTTTGGTAGCACTTTTTTGTGGCAGTTTTTTTTGTGGCAATTCTGATGGCAAAAATTATGAAAATTTCTTCTAAAAAATGTTCATAGTTTGAAATTTACTTAGTCATTATTTTCCACAAATTATTTCCACTTCAACTCTAAGCAACATCCAATTCTTTCCTTGTAAACTTTTTTGTAGTTGCAGGAATAACTTTTGTGGCAGTTTTTTTGCTGTCA